CTTTTTAGCTGAGAGATGTGAAAAACCGGATGGATGTTGCTCTGAGAAGGTAGCTCTAGCTTGTATGCCACCTTGCCGATACGCTCCATGATCTGATAAGGACCAAAAAATCGCGGAGCAAGCTTCTCGTTGCGTCGTACTGCCACTGATTTCTGTCGATAGGGTCTGAACTTGAGGTACACCTAATCCATGACAGCATACTCCACATCCCTTCGATGTTTGTTAGCACTCTTCACCATGTTACTCTGAGCTAACTCCAGATTCTCCCTTAACTCGATCAATAAGCTGTCGCGATCCTTAAGCAGATCATCGACTTGTGCATTTGCTGCTGGAATGTCTCTGTAGCGCATGATCTTTGGTGGCTCTCTTCCGTAGACGAGAAAGAAGGGAGTGTGCTTGGTGGCTGAGTGATACGAGGAGTTGTACCAAAACTCCGCCCAAGGCAACCATTGAACCCACGTCACCGGTTTCCTTCCTGCAAAACAACGCAAATACGTCTCCAAACAACGATTAACCACTTCTGTCTGCCCGTCCGTTTGAGGGTGATAGGCCGTGCTCTTGAGAAGTGTTGAACATTGTAGCTTGAATAATTCAGACCAGAAGTTGCTCAGGAATACCTTATCACGGTCCAAGACCATTTTCTCCGGAAACCCGTGTAATTTGACAACTTCTCAGATGAAAGCCTCTGCCATTGTCTTGGCTGTGAAGGGATGCTTCAAGGGAATGAAATGTGCGTACTTGCTCAACCTGTCCACAACCACCGAAACAACGCTGAACCCCTTTGACACTGGAAGCCCTTCCACGAAATCCAGACTTATATCGGACCATATTTGATCCGGTATGGGTAATGGTGCTAAGAGTCCTGCTGGTGATGTCGTGGAATACTTGTTCTCTTGACAGGTTTGGCACTGAAGGATGAACTTCACTACATCCTTACGCATCCCTCTCCATGAGACCTCCTTGGCTAACCTTTTATAGGTTTGTAAGGCGCCCTCGTGACCCCCGATCATACTCGTGTGAAACTGTTCGAGCAATGCAGGGATGAGGGGAGACCCTGCGGGAATGAGCAAACCCCCATCTCGATATAGCAACCCGTCCTTTGCACTGTACTCTGCGTACCCTTTTTCCCCGGCTTCCACTTTACTGAGTATTGAGCTTAACTCTGCATCTGCCCTAACCTCCTTGCTCAGTTCTGCTCTGTCCAGAGATAATGGAGCTGTGAGTGTGAGCTGATTACACCCTTCTGTGTGAGGTCTCCTGGACAGCGCATCTGCGACTCTATTCTCCACCCCGGGCTTGTATTCTATTCTGTAATTCAGGCCTATCAGTTTTGCTGCCCACCTCTGCTGTATTGATGAGACTGCCTTTTGATCTAGCAAGTGTTTCAAACTCCTCTGATCAGTCTTTATTATAAATTTCTTTACCGTGAAGTAATGCTTCCATTTGGTAACCGCCGTCACAATAGCTAGGAGTTCTCTCTCGTAAACCGACTTGACTCGCCCCTTCGAAGAGAAGGCTTGACTCAAGAAAGCGACAGGTCTTTTCCCTTGTGATAGCACTGCGCCTATTCTCACCCTTGATGCATCCGTCTCCACTGTGAAAGTCTGTGAGAAATCAGGTAATACCAAAACAGGCAGAGTAGTGACGGCTGTCTTCAGAGCTTGGAAGGCATAGGTGGACGCTGCAGTCCATAAGAAGTTATCCTTCTTGAGAAGTTCAGTCAAAGGCCTCGCAATTTGCCCATAATTCTTCACGAACCTCCTATAATAGTCTGTTAGACCGAGAAAACCTCTTAACTCAGTGATGGTTTTGGGTGTTGGCCAACTGATCATTGCTGCAACCTTTTTAGGATCTGCTGCGACTCCTTCCTTCGAGATCTTATGCCCCAAATAGGCTACTTCTGAACTCCCGAAGGAACACTTCTTTGCGTTGGCGTAGAACTGATTTTGGCTCATGAGTTGCAAGACCATACTCAAATGTTCTAGATGGGTTTCAACGCCGGGGCTGTAGACCAAGATGTCATCAAAGAAAGCCAACACAAACCTCCTCAGATATGGGCGAAACAGGTCATTCATCACACATTGAAACGTCGAGGGTGCGTTAGTCAAGCCAAAGGGCATTACCAGGAACTCGTAATGCCCTTGGTGAGTCTTAAACGCGGTTTTCTCCACGTCGTAGCTCTTCATTCTGATCTGGTGATAGCCGGATTTGAGGTCTAACTTCGAGAATACTGCTGCTCCGCTTAGCTCGTCAAAAAGCTCCTCAATCACTGGAATAGGATATCTGTCGGGAATTGTTGCCTTGTTCAACGCTCAGTAATCCACGCAGAATCTCCATCCCCCATCCTTCTTTTTAACCAACAACACCGGGCTTGAATAGGGGCTGATACTTGGCCTGATTATCTGAGCTTCTAACATCTCCTGAACCAATCTCTCTATCTCATTCTTCTGCACAAACGAGTAGCGGTAGGGTCTTATGTTGATGGGCCCTGCCCCTGCTTGTAATGTGATAGCGTGCTCTCTGTTGCGTGTTGGGGGAAGTCCTAGCGGCATCTGGAAAACCTCCGGAAATTCCGCCAATACGCCTTGCACTTCCTGAGTGTATAGCTCACCCTTCGTTGGCTCTTCACTTTCGAACAAGTCTGTTAACTCCAACAAGTAACCCACTCCTTCCTTCTTGAGGGTTCTCTCCATGGAGTTAAGTGAGATTTGCTCCTTACTGAGCGTTGGGTCTCCAGCTATCGTCACCCACAAATCGCCTATCCTCCAGCTCAACGTACGGTGTAACCAATTAATTCGGGTGTCACCCAGTGAAGCTAACCAAGAGTATCCCAACACTACGTCCGTGGTATCCAGTTCAAACAGCAAGAACTCCTCCACTATTTCTACTCCTTGAATATCTAGCAACAACCCCGAGCACCTTCCTTTCCCACTGATAATCTGTCCGTCGGCTACTCTAACCCCAAAACCTCTGGTATCTTTTTTAGGCAGCCCCAACTCTTGTGCCACTGATTCCGAGACAAAATTACTGGTCGCGCTGGAATCTATTAGAACAATGACCTCTCTGTCTCTGATCTTTTCTTTCATTTTCATAGACCTTACGGTGGTTAATCCTGACATCGAGTGAAGTGACAGAGTCACTATCTCTTGAGGTTCATCTTCTTGCTCGTTCTCGGCTGTTTCGAGTTGTTCCTCTCCTGTCTCAGCCTCTTGTTCCTCCATTTCTTCTAACTCCAAACATTTAAGCTTTTGTTTACAGCGGTGGCCTGGCATCCAAGGCTCTCCACAGAATCTGCAAGGATTGTTGCCGCGTGTAACATTGCCTCCGAAGGGTTTCCGGATATCCTTGTTCGTCTCGAATGGTTTCTTGACGTGATTCGTGTCAAGTCTCCTGCCCAAGTTGTTCCCTTGGTTCCGGTTTACTGGGCTGGTTACGGTGGTAGTCACGGTCCTCGAAGTAGCTATAGCTGTCACTCTCCTGTGATTCAATCAACTTTGCGATATCAACTATGTCTGCCATGTTAATCGGTCTACACCTCACCACTTGGTCCCTCAGGTTTTTCCGTAACCCTTTGAGAAACGCCGACTCCAGTTCATCGTCGGGAACATGTGGTAGCTCTACCGCCAAAGCTTCGAACCTCTCTCTGTACTCTTCCACACTTCCCCTTTAGAAGATACAAAAATGGTGGTCCATCGACGAACAGCCTCTGCTCTGCTTGAACCGGACCTTAAACTTCTCTTTAAACTCCTTCCAACACACGATGTGCTCACGCTCTTGTGCTCCTCTCCACCACGTCACAGCTGGTCCTGTGAGACAGGTGACAGCATGGTCCAGTTTTTCGGACTCAGAGACTCTATTCATAGCGAAGCACTTCTCTATGCGAAAAAGCCAATCTTCGGGGTTATGGCCTTCGTATACCGGAAGCTCCACTTTTCTTGTTGTCGGAGGGTTTATGGGGGGCGGGGGAAGTTCCCCCAGTAGTTCACGCGCCGCGGACAAAGGATGAGGCCCTGCCTGTTGGATCTGGAGCTCTTCGTTGGGTTGGGGCAAAAGCCCGTCCCCTTGGTTTCGGTCAGTGTTAGAGACCTGACAAAAGCGGAGTAGGTGGTTGAGCGTTGGGATTCGGGGTAAGGAACCCCGTTGGAGTCGTCTCAGGGCCCCCGTAGGTCTGGGTTCTCATGACGCTGGGAGCACTTGCTCGATCCAGAGAATCGCCTTTTCTGTCTTGTCCATGCGTTGTTCCAGAGTAATCGCCGAGGCGAGTGTCTCCGGAATGTTCATCTCGAGTTCTATAGATGCCGATCTGGGTTCTGACTCGCCGATGGTGGGTAAGGAACTCATCGCCGTCAATCTCTCGATAAAAGCACCACTGATAGATCTTAACCTAACAATGATAATTTAGTAACCAGAAATAGATAAGGAGAATAGATAAGATAGAAAAGAATAGGGAAGAGTGATGATTAATTCATTGATCCCTTGGATACCCAACCCTAAAGTTGGGAACAATGTTTAAATACATCAAGTAATAATACGAAACGACAATGCATTACATAAACTGATAATTTCTTCAAACAATAATACGAAACGACAGTGCATTACATAAACTGATAATTTCTTCAAACAGAGCCTTCCACCAACTTCCACTACACTCTTAGCCACTTTGCTTTCCCTCCCAAACTCGCGCCTTCCTGCAATTTGATCTCTTCTTCTTTCTCATAAAAGCAATTGGCTCCTGTAACCTATCACTCTCGTCTATGACAGCGACAACAATGTCAACCGGTGGTGTATTCTCCGCCGGAAAGCCAATGGCAATAGCCGCTTGGTGCTTATCCCTTCACTGCCTCTTATGCCCAGCTATGGAAGCTTTGTCGCAGTGGGCTCGAGGATATATGTGTTTGGTGGGGTTAATGACGATAGGACAACGAGTGCGTTAACCATTGACTGTAGATCTCACAGGGTTCAACCTCTCCCCAGCATACCTGCGCCAAGTGTATGTTACAATGGCTGTTGTCATCGGCGGGAGAATCTACGTAATTGGAAAAAGCGATTTTGATGATTATGTCTGGAAGAAGGCGATGGTGGTGTTCAACACAGAAACACAAAAGTGGGAGGAACCTGGGATTATAAAGGCAGACATTGAGCTACGTGACACGTATTACCATGGCTGTGTGGTGATGGTAAGCTGTACACGAGGGATTCCAATAACAGCTTTGTTTACGATCCAAAGGAAAATAAATGGGAAAGAGAAGAGATGCTGAATTTACACGATTGGGAGATTTCGCTGGAAAAACGTGGAGGCGAGGAGATTCAGGGTAAAGTTGAGTGGTGTGATCATGTTCTGGCTAGGAATTTGTGCTTTAGGAAATCTCTAGCTGTTATGCTTTGATGCAGATTGCAGAGGAACTCTTCACAACTTTTTTTTCTAAAAGATTTAGGAACTCTTCACAACTTGTGCTCGTTTTCTTCCTAAATTTATTTGTCTAACTTGCTTCACCCTAATTCCTAGCGTAGATGAGTTTTCTTTTTCATAATACTGAATCTTTGTTGATGTAAACGAAAAATAGTCGAATTTGTGACCTTTCTTCACTTTTCGAACTAAACTGAAGTAAACCAGTATAAAATTTGGATCCGTGTTCCAAAAATATACAAAACAAAATCGAAAATTGAAAATCTATATGACCAGACGGTAACATATCTGTTTTTCAATGGAGGGGAGATTTGGGGTAGAATTGAATATACAGTATGTATATATTTACGAAATCTGCAACTCTGCTGAACAAGTAACATACCTAGAGTGAGGACAAGGCGTTGATTTATAGGGTTTGTGTGAGCTTTATCACTCTCTTGGCTTAATTATTTTTGGTCTTTCTTGTGTTAGACGTTACTTGGGAGCAAACCAATGCTTTATCAAAAGTTCTTTATGGACCTCTATATTATTCTTTTCTGCTCTCACTTAGAAACCAGTAGCTATTATTAGGCTTTGACCTTTTGATTTTTTTTGTTTTTGTTTTTTGGTTAAGTCTGATTTACTTACCAAAGAAAGTCTCACAATGGTTCTGTGCTCGAGATTTTTTAACATTTTCTTTACGAAACTGTTTTAATCTTTATTAATGATGAGTTACTCGTTGGTGTTTTCTTCGTTCCATCTGTGCAAAAGAACAATGAAAAAGAAGAAGAGAATACTTAGAATTAGATTACTTGTCTAGAAAGTAAGAACAAAAAAAAAGAAAAAGATGCTCTTGAGGAGCTTGGAGAGAAAATAATGAAATATGAAGTGAATTGTTACATTCGGAGGCAAATCAATACCACTCTCGGTATCACCAGATGTTACAGTCAAAGACCTCAAGTCTCTTCTCCAACCAATCACCAACGTTCTTCCTCGTGGCCAGAAACTTATCTTCAAAGGTTTCTGATTTCAATTTCGAATGTTTTCTTCACTTATTCAAAATTCGATTTTCTTGTTTCCCTGGAAAAAAAAAAGGTAAGGTTTTGGTGGAGACGTCGACTTTGAAGTAATCAAAGGTGGGCGATGGAGCGAAAATCATGTTAATGGCTTCTCAAAGGTCTGCATCAAGGGGTTAGTGTTCTTCTTCTATGATTCAATCATCTTGCTCTGTAGTAGGATCAATCTAATTGAGGAAACATCATCTTGTTCGAGGTATGTTAATGCTTGTGGTGGTATTCAAAAAATTGAGTAGGAAGGTCCAGTGCTTATTAAGGAAGCTAGTGCAAGGCCAATCTCTAGAACTGTTGTATCTGATAAAAGTAGATCAGACGAAACCTGGTCTCCTCGTTGACAAGAACTGCACTGATCGATGGAAAGCCATAGGAGTCATTGCTTTAGCTCAAGCCAATTTGAAGGTATATAGAATAAAGTCTCACGTTTTCGTTATTGTGGTTTTGGTTTGGATTTAAACATTCATTTGGCATTGGAGATAGGACAAATTCTTCGTTAGTAAGCTAAAAATTGTTTCTTTTGTTGTGGAAAAAGGAAATACCGGAAGAAGTGTGGGACTGTGGATCCGGAGTCAGAGTACTAGACATTAGTGAAAACTTCATTCGAGAAGTACCTGCAAAAATCAGCTCTTTTGGTTCTATGCAGGTGATAAATACATGGATTCATGTATATTTCAAATCTTTTTTGTCTATTAAAGTTTGTATATGGAGAATGATATGAGTAGTGCCTTTATGTAGAAATTGCTCCTTCAAGGAAACGGTCTGTCCGATGAATCCATTCAGTGGGAAGGGATTGCATCTCTGAAGCGTCTGATGCTTCTCTCCATCAGTCATAACAAGTAAGTTTGTTGCCTTGAATGGTAGCATTATGCAAGATTGTGTTTTTGTTCTTCAGAATTGATTCGAAGCGAACACTGTAATCTATAGTAGTTGTGAACATCAGAATGAGGTTTTAGATTGTTTTGCAGTCTAACTGTACTGCCATCAGCAGTGGAATTGGTTGACGTCTCTCAGGCAACTTGATGTCGCTAACAACAAGTTGACAAGTATACCGAATGAGATAGGGCTTCTAACGCAGCTCGGGATCTTCAAAGCTAACAGGCAAAATAAGCTTTAAAGATCTTTTTAAGTGATCTAATAAAAGACAAAAAAAGTTAAAACATTTTTTGCATATATTTTAAGAATCACAACTAAATGTACTTAAATTTTTTAAAATCGTAATATATTTTTAAACTCCTAATATTTTTAATAACTCTTTCAACTTTACAAATTCTTAAAATCTACATAAACCCATCTCCCAATAACTCTCTAAATCTATTCTTATTATAAAAGTGAATTAGGGTTTTAGTGATTTTCTCTCGAAAATTGGGTGATCTTGAGATGTCTTCCAGAACTAGGGCAGAGAAGAAGAAGCAATCCTCGGCACCACCGTCTCTTTTGATGACGTCGTTTTCCGAAGACGTCATCGTTGACATCATAGCGCGTGTATCGAGATTCGACTATCCAATTCTCTCCCTCGTCTCAAAACACTTCCGATCACTCGTTGCGTCCCCTGAGTTATACCTCAGGCGATCGTCTCTAAACACTTCCGAACACTGTCTCTATGCTCTCGTCTATGTGTCCACCGTTGGAATATTCTCCGCCGGAAAGCCAATGGCAATAGCCGCTTGGTGCTTATCCCTTCACTGCCTGTTATGCCTCGCTATGGAAGCTTTGTCGTAGTGGGATCGAGGATATATGTGTTTGGTGAGATTAATGAAGATAGGACAACGAGTGCATTCACCATCGATTGTAGATCTCACACGGTGCAACCTCTCCCGAGTATGCCTGTGCCCATGTATGATACAATGGCTGACATCGTCGACGGAAAAATATATGTAATTGGAGATAGCTATTGTCATGACAGGAAGAAGGTGATGGTGGTGTTCAATACAGAAACACAAAAGTGGGAGGAACCTGAGGTTATAAAGCCAGACATTGACACGTGGTGTGATTGTGTGGTGATGGTAGATAAGCTGTACACGAGGGATTATCTTGATAACATTTTTGTTTACGCTCCAAAGGAACATAAATGGGAAAGAGACGAGATGCAGAATGTAAAGCACTTGTGCTACAACGTATTGTACTACTACGATAGGGATGAGAAGAGTCTAAGAACGTATGATCCAAAGCAGAGATGTTGGGGAGTGGTGAAAGGTGTGGAAGAATTGTTGGCTAAGTCAAGATATCCATGGTGGTTAAAGAGTACTGTGAGTTACGGTGGGAGATCCGCTTTGCTTTTTTCTGAAGGAGAATCAAGTGAGATTTGGTTTGCGAAGATTTCGCTGGAAAAACGTGGAGGCGAGGAGATTCAGGGTAAAGTTGAGTGGTGTGATCATGTTCTGAATAGGAATTTGTGCTTTAGGAAATCTCTAGCTGTTATGATGATTTGATGCAGAGGAACTCTTCACAACTTGTGCTTGTTTTCGTTTTCAAGATCTCACCCATCTTTGCAGAAATGAGATCGTCTGCAATAACCAGCCCTGTAGAAATCCGTTATACTGAAAATGGCTTTACGAAACTGATTTAATGATGATTCTCTCGTTGAAAAAGAAGGAGAAAAATACTTAGAATTAGATTACTTGTAGGAGATTGGAGAGAAAATAATGAAATATGAAGTGAATTGTTATTTTGATGATTTGAATGACTCTTACACACTCCTATTTATAGGAGGAGCTTATACACACAACAATCACTCCCCAATAATCACAACAATATAAGATCAAAGATAAATCACGATAAAGTTTTTCTAAAATGAATGCGATCTACGAGCAATAGCCCTGGGGACCAAATCACCAATGTACATGTCACATTTCGCTTCATCGGTACCAATTTTCGAAGAATGGAAAAAGTTTTTAAAGGAAATGAAAGATCTTAAGAATGGATTAACTAATGTGTGTATACACCTTCAATTATACACCAATATATATAACGACTTAGCGAGTATGTTGTTGGTCTACTATAGGCCGACTCAAAGTTATACAAGACACTGAGCTAGAAATATAAATGGACTATAATTATTGTTATGTGCTTATATAAAATACCAGTCATGTTGGATTTATAGATTCGAAACTAATCAAAATTTCAACATTAATTAATGGTTCAATGATCAAGAACTCGTTTCTCTTTGAGAGTTTGAGTAAGTAGAATGGTAAATGCCATCTTCATAAATTTCAAGCTAACTAAAAAATCATATTGAGCTTAATCATAACATCTTCAAAACGCATATCTAGACCACAAAACATGCTCTAGCTAACACCTCAACCACAAACAGAACACACCTACACAATCAAAATACAACGTGTATGCTACTTTCAGGAGCAATTCAACTACACAAAACATATGACCAGGTGTGATGTAAGACTCAAACCTAGATCAACTAAACCAGCCAAACAATGGAACCTTGGAGCTAAAGAAGATGGAGTTAAGCTTGTAGCTGAGAAGAATGGAGGATTTGTAGCTGAGCAAGGAGCAGCTAAGGACTTAGCCATTAAAAGCCATCGTTCTATACATCAGAAGGAGCAATCTGATCGAGCCAATACTCCACCGGTTCAATACAAATCGCAAGGAAACCGAACTAAACCATCAAGTACATTCAACGAGCCATTTAAGGAAGTGGAGTCTATATGTTATGAAGATAAATCATGCGACCGACCCTTACTGATTTATGAATACATGAAGACTCTTAAACCACCCCTGGTTCAGTTCAAGACGTTCCTTAACCATGAAGACCCGCCAAATCAATAAAAACCAGCAAATAATCCAAGAGAAGCCTTCACCAAGCCATTTATGGAAACCACGGATATATGTCCCATTAAGACATCATATTCGACCCTCCTCACGTCCACAGCAGCTAACAAGAGCCATACCACACCATAGCAAGTTAACAATCGCCCCCTTTCAGCTGAAGTCAAAGAAGATTATTTCAAAGAGAAGTTTTCCATAAAAGAAGATCATTACTTACTCCAAAACGAGATTGAAGCTCAAGGACCATCTTTATCTTCTAATCTCAGCCATTCATTCAAACTACAAGATTCATCACGTCCATTCATCATTAAGGAGCCACAGAAATTCCATTATCAGCGTCAAGTCAAGATATCAGCCCTTTTAAAGCCAAACAGCTAAAAGACCTTTCCTACATTATCTAGCTTGATATTTGCTTCATGTTTAATGTTTATTACCGTTTGTTTTCCACCTTCTGAGCATTATATAAGCTCTTTACCTCATGTAATTCGATTCACCAAGTTATAATCAAGAAAAGTATTATTTTGTCTTCTAAAGAAAGGTTTTCTTTTGAATACATTTGTTCCTGCGAATTATTTGTCATCTTTGAGGGATTTAGAAGACTTGTAAGGCGTGTAGAATCTAGTTGTTCTTGTGAGGATTAGCCCTTGAAGAACTAGAGTCTAACATTTTTTTGTTTGGGGTCATCAAGCACAACCAGCTTATCAACCATCACGCTACTCATTCCATCAACTCTAACTCAAAGCAAAGATTCAAAAAAGTTTCACTTGAACCACATTTCAAGTATTACATCATTGGTATCAGAGTTAAAATCTCCTTATCCAGGTGTTTTCAGTTCCTTTCTCAAGTTTTTGATTTTCTATTTTCATTCAGTTTTGAGTTTTCCTTCTTATAAAACTAAAAACCCACAAAAAAACTGTTTTAATTTTTCATTTGTTTTCTGCGAATTTTATAAAATCCATAAAAATTGGTTTTGCTTTTTGTTTCAGTTTATTTAATCTCTTAAAAACACAAAACAATTATTTTCCAAAATTATTCGGGTCGTTTGATAATTTGTTTTGATTTTTCAATTCAATTGGTCAAAACCGCTTAATTCTGTATTCTTCATTTTTATGAAATCCAGAAAAACTCAAAAAATTAATTTCTTTTTGTTTCTGCTAAATTAATCTCTTAAAACCACAAAAAATATTCTTTTTGAATTTTCGATCCATTTGATAATTTTTACAATTATTTTTCCTCAACTGGTCGAAATCTGATTAATTGCTTGTTCTTGTATTTTGCTGTCCTTTAAACACATCTTTGATTTGTTTCACTTGATTTTTTGCAAGGTACCATGGGAGATAATACACCAGAAGCTGATCCTATGCAAGCAATCTTGGGTGCCATTGCCAATCTAAATGAGAATCTCAACACTTTCAGGAATGAGAGCAATACCCGTTTTGAGCGCCTAGAAGGAGAAAGACAAGCACCTCAAGCACCTCTATTGCCAAGAAGAAATGTCTATGGCGTTCCTCCTGATGCAAACAGATTAGGAGACCCTCCTGATGTGCCACCACCAGCGCCAAATCTAGCACAAGAAGCTCAATAAATTTTTAGAAGAAACAATGAGAGGAACATGCCATATAATGAGGATAGACACTTACCACCAGAAGTGAAGCTGCTTGCACCAACTTTTGCTGGAAATCTTGATCCTGCCGCCTATCTAGAATGGGAAAAAAGGATGGAGCACTTATTTGACTACTATGCCTACACTGATCCTAAGAAGATCGCTCTTGCAGTAGCTAGTCTCACTGACCATGCTCTAGCTTGATGGGACAGAGAAGTTGCTGAAAAAAGGAGGCTCAGATATCCACAAATCACCAGATGGAGTGACATGAAATTTGAGCTAAATAGAAGGTATGTACCTCCTCATTACCATAGAGATTTACTAAAAAGGTTTAGGTCTCTTTTTCAGGGTTCTAAGAGTGTGGAGGAGTACTATGAAGAGTTTGACCTCCTAAGAAGTCAATTAGCTCTAGAAGAAACAGAAGAGTCCTTGATGTCTCAATTCATGGATGGCCTCCAAGAAAGAATTCAGAGAAAGGTGGAGATGCAGTCTTACCATTCCTTGCCTGAACTTCTACTCTTAGCTGTTCAAAGGGAGAAACAGATCAAGAAGAAAGCCACTACTAGAAATTGCTCCAGTAATAATAATACTTGGAATCAGCAGCAGCCTCAACCAACTCAACTACAGCAGCAGCCAACGCCTACACCATTGGTAGACAAGGGCAAAGGCATTGCCATAGAATCACGGTTCAAAACAAGCACCCATGAGCAAGGTAAGTCTTCTAATAGACATCATGACATTATCTGCTTTAAATGTCAAAGCAGGGGTCATGTTTCAAGGGAATGTCCAAACAAGAGGACAATGATTCTTAGATCAGATGGAGGATATGATTCACAAGATGAGGCTATGGCTGAAGAATCAGAAGAAGAAATCACTGCATATGCTGATGAAGGAGAATTACTGGTCATTCAAAGAGCTTTAAACTCCAGATGCAGTATTCAGAACAAGGTATGTCATTTAATAATGGACAGTGGTTCTTGTGCTAATATTTCTAGTATTTGTTTAGTAGAGAAGCTAGGTCTTAAAGCTAAACCTCATCCAAGGCCATACAAGCTTAAATGGCTTAATGATAAAGAAGAGTTGAAGGTGAACAAACAAGTAGAGGTTCCTCTATCCATTGGCCAGTATAAATACCAGATTTTATGTGATGTGGCGCCAATGTAAGCTGGGCATGTACTGCTTGGGAGACCATGGCAATATGATAGAGATGTTGCACATAATGGGAGGACCAGTGAATATTCATTCTCTTTCAATCATTGTAAATTTATTCTTGCTCCTTTACCACAAAAAGAAGTTAGAGTTTTACAAAACAGATCTAAAGGGAAGAGTAGTTATTTTGCTATTCAAGAATTTACAGAATTAAATCTCACAGATATGATGCACTTGTCTTTGTCAAAGAATTGTTTTGCAGATTTTAAAGAAGAAGAGTTCAAAAATGAGGAAGTCAAGGAGCATGGCGTGAGCAACAATGGTGAAAACATGATGTTCACTAAGGAGACACCACCAATAGAAGAGCTTTTTCCAACATTGAAGCTGACTGAAGCCAGAAACGTCCCACTTAACCAACTCATTGAGCATCTACAAGCTGATCACCAAGGTAAGTCCTTAAACTCTAAACATTTTTCAAAAATTAACTTAGGGTTGTTTGATGCAGGTTCTACAGTTTTGAGGACAAAACCTCTACAAGAGGGAGAGGATGATGTAAGACTCAATCCTAGATCAACTAAACCAGCCAAACAATGGAACCTTGGAGCTAAAGAAGATGGAATTAAGCTTGTAGCTGAGAAGAATGGAGGATTTGTAGCTGAGCAAGGAGCAGCTAAGGACTTAGCCATTAAAAGCCATTGTTCTATACATCAGAAGGAGCAATCTGATTGAGCCAATACTCCACCGGTTCAATACAAATCGCAAGGAAACCGAACTAAACCATCAAGTACATTCAACGAGCCATTTAAGGAAGTGGAGTCTATATGTTATGAAGATAAATCATGCGACCGACCCTTACTGATTTATGAAGACATGAAGACTCTTAAACCACCCCTGGTTCAGTTCAAGACGTTCCTTAACCATGAAGACCCGCCAAATCAATAAAAACCGGCAAATAAACTAAGAGAAGCCTTCACCAAGCCATTTATGGAAACCACGGATATATGTCCCATTAAGACATCATATTCGACCCTCCTCATGTCCACAGCAGCTAACAAGAGCCATACCACACCATAGCAAGTCAACAATCGCCCTCTTTCAGCTGAAGTCAAAGAAGATTATTCCAAAGAGAAGTTTTCCATAAAAGAAGATCATTACTTACTCCAAAACGAGATTGAAGCTCAAGGACCATCTTTATCTTCTAATCTCAGCCATTCATTCAAACTACAAGATTCATCATGTCCATTCATCATTAAGGAGCCACAGAAATGCCATTATGAGCGCCAAGTCAAGATATCAGCCCATTTAAAGCCAAACAGCTAGAAGACCTTTCCTACACTATCTAGCTTGATCTTTGCTTTATGTTTAATGTTTATTACCGTTTGATTTCCACATTCTAAGCATTATATAAGCTCTTTACTTCATGTAATTCGATTCACCAAGTTATAATCAAGAAAAGTATTATTTTGTCTTCTAAAGAAAGGTTTTCTTTTGAATACAATTGTTCCTGCGAATTACTTGTCATCTTTGAGGGATTCAGAAGACTCGTAAAGCATGTAGAATCTAGTTGTTCTTGTGAGGATTAGCCTTTGAAGAACTAGAGTCTAACCTTTTTGTGTTTGGGGTCATCAAACACAACCAGCTTATCAATCATCTACTCATTGCATCAACTCTAACTCAAAGCAAAAATTTAAAAAAGTTTTACTTGAACCACATTTCAAGTATTACATCAAGGTGGGTCAAATTTCTACCAAGCACTATCAACTTTGCATTTGATGACCCCAACTTTGCATTTGATGACCCCAAACACAAAAAAAGATCACGTATCTTGAAATGTATAAAAAAGTTAAATAAGGAATTGATAATTAAATAAAATCCGACCAATGCTCGGTTCATACAAAAGTACATAGGCCACAATAAGTTTTAATTTTGCACTAAGTTAGAAAGAATAAATAAATGAATTAATCAAAGTCAAAATTAAGCTAAAATCAAAAGGAAACCCTCCAAAATTTCTATCTAAAATCAAAAGTAAACCCTCCAAATTTTCTATCTAAAAATCTCTAAAGATGCCTCTTCTTTCTAGATGAACTGGCGCAAAGGGATCAACATCACACTGATATCATCCGACGATCCTCGTGAAGCCGAGAGATCGACAAGCTTCTTACAAGCTACCAACAATGGCTTCTCCTCGGTTCCTACGCAGAAAGGACGAGCAATGTCGACAGCTTCTTGGTTACTCACTTTGTCCCATAGACCATCCGATGCCAAGATCAAGAACTCGTGCTCCTCATCGATTCTCAACATCTTTGTCTCTGGTTCGGCTATAACCCATTTCTTGAGCTGAGCATCACCGATTCCTCTTGACACAGCTAAAGATCCTTGGATCCTCCAAACACCGTGAAACGTATCAACATATCCGCCCTGCGAAAATGATCAACATCTACTGTTAGAAACCATACTTTCCATATTCAGAATATTTCCCAAATTTATCGTTTATATAACTGAGAGATTCTCACCGTGGTTTCAATTCTTTTCCGTTCATCGTCTCTGGAGGGGCGGTGATCGGAAGAAACGGCCTCCGCGACGCCTCCTATGCTCATGACGGCACGACAATCGCCGGCATTGGCCACAACGAGGTTCCCATCGCTGAACATAGCTGTGACGCAGCAAGAACCGCCTTTAACGTCTTTCTCCTTGAGAAACGCAGCGTCTGTGGTCAAGTAACCGCGTTTCACCGCGTCTGCAATCTCTAACTCGTCTCTTTTACCAACTACCTCTTCTAAAACGTTCTTATCTAAATTCTTAGCCGCAAACTCAGCCGCTTTTACTCCTCCGTGACCATCGTAGACTCCGAATATCGCCTGAAAACAAAATCACACAAAATAAACAGCGTTTAAAAATCGCGTTTCAAACAGTTCGGAACTACAATTTCCCTCAAACTAATTGTCTCAATTAATATTAGAACCCTAATGTAAATCGAATCAAAATTTGAAAAGTTTACCTGTTTGCGATCTCCTTGAAGATTGGTGATGGCAGAGAAGCGATCCTCCATAGCTTCTCTCCTTCCTCTCTTACAATAAACAGAATAACCATCGCCTTCCCTCTCCACCTCTCTACTTTCGTCCCTCGGCGTCGCAATCGCGATCTCCGACGACGGAGCTACGAAACCCGCGGTACCAATCGGTATATCAAGCCTCGTCGGCCGTTTCCTCTTCAAAGCCCCTCCCGGAGGAGATTGGCCGGTACACGATGCGGAAACAGAGTCCGATCCAAACGCTGGCGGCGCAGGAGCGAATCCGGTAGGCGGTTTCTGGAAACGAAGACGGAAAGGAGATTTAGGGGAAGCCGCGGCGGCGGAAGGAGAGGAAGGAGAAGACGTCGAAGCTTTGAGATGTGAAAGAGTGAGAGAGATTGTTTCCTGCGGCGAAGAGAGTATAGAAGTTTTGTTGCAGAAAAGAGACGACGACGGAGAAAACACCGGCGAATTGCAGACGGCGACGGAACAAGACATCGCTATAATAACCCTAAGAGATTCGATTCGATTCGAAGATTGAGATTGTTTTTTTTTGTTGAAGAAGATGGATCTGTCTCTCTTCTTTTCTTCCTCTCGTCGTTGAGATTTCTGTTTTGTGACAAGGAGAGAGAGAGAGAGGAGAAGGTTTAAATATAAAGAGAGAGAGAGAGAAGGTAATAATGAATAGTTGAAATGTTGAATAAAATATTTAATGGAGTCCGTGTTTATTGAGCCGCTTCTATTTATTCAAACTTGAGTTTTTTTCGTTTGACTCTAAAAAGACGTATATACCCCTTGCAACTTTCATTCCTCTATTTACGGCTTTGTCCTTCACCTTCTAAACAAAGGATAATAATTTGGGGAAACAAATTAAAGCTTAGAATTCGTTGTACTCTTGTTGACTAGAAAATAAAAGAATTTTTCTTTATAATTTGTTGGAAAAAAAAGAAAATAAACTACTTTTTTTAAACAGGTTGAAGGGAAATTATCTGTTTACTTTGGGTTTTTCAAAACTAAAAATGGAAAATATCAGGTTTCTATTTATATATGTGTGCTTATATAATTTCTTTATATTTTTTTGAAAAAGTAGATATTGCACATAATTGTCGATAATAATATTGATACGATGAATATTTTTTTTTTTTAAACTCTTTTTAGTTAAAACATTAATTTTATTAATAGTTTTTAGGAGTATATTAAAACAATAATTTATATATAAGTAGAAAAATGTTAAGATAAATGCAAGAACAAAATTTGACGCATGACAAGCAAAAGACATATGTTGTTCATACCCAAAAAAAATGGACATATGTTGTTATAATAAAAAAATATTTATAATTTTGTTTGAATTAAAAAAACTTAAAAATATACTAATATTTCCAAATTATAAAAAATTGAATTTTTTTCTTTTATGAACTTCCTCCTCTCTATCTATGTACTTGTTTTGTGTGTTTTAAATCATTCATTTTTATTAGCCTTTATACAAGTATGTTGTACAAAAAAGTTAGTGAAATTATATTTATTCATAAATTAAGTGATATAAGTAGAGTGTAAAATATATATCTAATAATTTAGTGTTTGTTTGGCTGGAAAGTGAGTTGATATTTTTTGCAAAACTTACCCACCCAAGTTGGAACATCCTACTCTCACAATGCATAAAAATGGGGAAAATAGAACCATTAAATTAAAGAACAGACTAAATAACAAAAGCTAGTGATGTCTCTAGTGGAAAATAAGTATTCTAGAGATAAAAGAAAAGTCTATATAAAACAAAAATTCAAGGAAAAACAGCAAAACGAAAGAGAATCTTTGATTTGAGGACAAAACGGTCATTCACAGCCCCCAAAACTAGAACGATGAAGTAAGCATTGTTGTGTTGTTTCGCTTTGTGAGGGTAAAGCGGACATTTCAGAGTAAGTCAAAAACACGTCTAAAAGAGCATATAATTTGGGCATGTGGCGTTGTTACATGGTAACGTATCTGTGTTAAAGAAGTGTTGAATGATTTGATGAATACTTTTTTTTTTCAATTTTGTTTTTTGGTCTGTTTAATTAAATGAAAACAGATTCTTAGGACCGTTGTGGGTCCCGTAATGGGTTTACATGTTGTAATTTGATTGGATGGGATATTTGGTGGTCGCAGTCGCAGCTTCTTAGCAAGTGACCGTTGAGGACTGAGAGGAGCCTTCTTCCTTTTGTTTGTTTCTTTCTATTTTTTTTTTTGTAGGATTGTTTCTTTCTATTTGATGACCGTTGTGTGAAATCAAAAGCTTTTTATATAATCTCAATTCACACGAGGTCTTCTAATTAAAAATACAAGTCTCCTTAAGAGTGTGTGTAAACGTTTTATGAGATGTGACATCATCAATAACGGATAGTTTTTTTTTGTTTCCTTTTCTTTCAAAACGGTATTCGTTGGAAATAAAGAATATTCATCGATGTTTTAAAACGGTTTCCACAGTAACTACGGTTTTAACTGGTGATCAATTAAAAAAGAATAAGAATAAAAAGTAAAAGAATAAAATAAACAAAAGAAAATGAATGAATAGAAATAAAAAATAAATAAGAAAGTAAATAAATATATTTTATTCTTCCCCAATTTTAATAAGGAATACATTTGTTCTATAATTCCTTATATGATAAGGAATAAGAATGAATTATAGGGAAATATTATTACTAGCAAATAGTAAAAAATTTAAGGAATGAATAGGAATATGAATTCATTATTTCCCATCATTATTACATATTTTTCTATTTATCAATCTGCAATTTAATCCTTCCATTTACATTGTTAATATTATGAGTCTAATTAGAAATACTTTGATTTTGTTAAATATTTATTTTATAACTAAAAAGTGTTTTGAACTTTAGCACCTGACTCATCTTTAATATATAAAGAATCTTTATATGGTAAGTGGGCTTTTAACACTCAGTTAATCTTTATATGACGAATATAACTAAATACTAGGTTTATTAATGGACCTAAAAATGATATTATTATGACTGGCTAAATAAAAATAATTTAAATGATTTCACACTTAAAGAAAATCAATTTCTGACTTATAAACCATTAAACCATCACTACTTGTTAATTCGTTTTAGTTACCCTCTAGCATAACTTTTTGATTATTTTTTGAAGTATTTTTTTGTTCTATTTGAAATTTGTCAATCCTGCCATGGATTTGTTTGCCATAGATCTTTTGCTTTATATTTTACTAGGTGTTCGATTAAACTTTTTTTAAGATAATAACATTAGTTTATTTATAGATAAAAATTTATATTTTATAATTATTTGAAATCAAAATTAACATATTTGAAAAATAAAATTTTCATGAGATATATTGTTTTTTGGCCACATAAATCAATTTTCATAAGATTTAGAATTTTACTTTTGACCGATTTAGATTAATCGAAAATATTAGTAGGTTAAAGAATCAAATTAAAATTAGTTTAAGAAAATAATTAAAATTGATTTTTTGTGATTTATGCTAATTAATTTTTTAGTAAACTGAATATTATTATGATATAAATTCGAATTTGAATAAAACAAAAAATTAAAAATTAGATTATATTAATTTGTTAATTTGTTAATTTCAGTAAGTATAAATATAAAAAATTATATAAAAGGTCAATCATCATAACTCTCAACCACCGTCCAACTTGCTTGCCAATCAATAATATGATTAAGAAAAAAATGATCATATGAAAAATAAATTATGATAAAAATCAAAACATTATATCAATTTTAATCCATATTTTAGATTATTTGTCAAAAAGACAAACTTTATTAATATTTAGAATAATATCCCACTTGAAAAGAGAATTTCAAATTGATGTAAGAGTGAAAATTAAAGTAATTAGCGGAATTGGGAGAGGGAGGGATATTTGGGGGTAGAAGTTCAGATTGATCAAAACCACAAGTGGTCGTGAGAAATGCAAACCTGATCCGAGACATCTGTGCACTACGGCCACTTACATAGTCTAGTGGACGACTAATTACTTTTACTATTGCTTACCATGCAACCTAACGATTACTATAAGTTACCATTAGTGTCGTCTTTGAGTACAAACTAATTAAGCATGTCTGTAATTAGTGCCACTGAGATAAAACAAAGCTTAGGGACCAGTTTTTTTTAGCTATCAATTTGCTTATTTGTATGACTCATTCTTATTTGTAAGCAAATTGATACAGGATTGGAAAATCATTAGCTTGAATATTTATATATTAATCAATTAGGAAGAGATTATTGTCTATTATGTTTCAGTAAGAACGAGTCATACAAATGATGAAATGACTCCTACTTTTACGATTGGACTTGGTCATTAGGATGAGTATACATTAGTTGACCATATAGCATATGATTTAATCAAGCAAAGAAGTTTTCCACTCCATAACTGTAGCTGTTATTATACAGTCGGTCGTCTGATTTTTGTTTTCATAATGAACATGTTAATCAAATCAAGACAATAATTGAGGTGGGTCTAAAATCAGAAGCCTGAAGCCCAATGTATGGGCTCTTCATTTTGAAGTATTCGATTATCCATTATGCCCAAAAACGTTATTTACGAATGTTTCCCCCCTAAATAGATATGATGGACACATCTTAAACAACAATCAGTTGACAAATGTGATATTGAAGAGAGCTTCACGGATCACAGTTCACAGATCACAATTATATAAATGGTTAATTAAACGTAACATCTTACAATAAAAACGAAACTATATATAATTCAATACATACATTTGGTTGATATTTTGATTAATCAAATCTTAAAACAACAAAGCAGCATAGAACAATTGGTTCCAAGTATCGGGAAGACCAGGAAGACACCAATGGCTACAATCAGATGAACGATCAGGATTCCTCTTTAGAGAAGGATTGAGATCTCCACTGTAGATCGAAGGATGACCATCGATTCGAAGAGCAGAGAGCATTGATATATCCATCAATGAGACATGAGATTTCATCTCTTTAACCACTTCATCAATCACTTTCTTCTGGCTTACGTATGAGCTTGTTGGGTACGTTGTTCCACTATACGGTGTCGTTTGACCGTAACAGCTTTTTGCTCCTTGAGTTATCGTTGAAGCTTTTGATCTTGAAGTCCACTCATTTGGACTGCATCATATTTTCACATCAACATTTACTTTAGCTTTGTTTCCTTGATTTATGTAAGTATATGCAATCTTGAAAACTATGAAGTTTAGTTATCAAATGCATGCATATTAACTTATTAAGAAAATAAAAGCTAATTATTGTATAAACTATTACAAGGGAACAGTATTATTAAAGATTAGAAATGGTAGGATACAACATTAACTGTTATGTTGGCGGCTACATTTATATACTATTATCAATTTAGCAACTTGCAAGGAGGAAAAGATTCCACAAAACTAAAGCGATTTGACTATTATTTGGGCCCAAATTAAAACACACAGCTCACATGTGGACCTTTATCAACAGACTATTCTCATGGTTATCTTTTTGAGTTTTAAGTTTCTTTTTTTTTTTATGAAATAATGCAGAATTTCTCTCTACTTTTTTTATATGAAATAATGCATGCCACACTGCCATTAACCATGAACATTTTGTTTCGAACAAGGAAAAAAACGAGTTATTGTTTTGAAATGACTATATAGAGACCTTTATTATTATTAGCAAAACCATACTACTTTTTTTTTATGGAACATACGTATTTATCACGTCTACGCTTTGTGATTAAGCTAGCAAAAGCGAGGCCACAATGCTAAGTAGATAGTAGTAGTTGAAGATTGGTAGCAACTAGCAAACCGATTTATTTATTATAGTTTGGCAATATCTAGCAAAACTCTCTATTCAAGCCAATGCATGTGTTTGATAGTGTTTCCTATTATTAAATACTTTGCCGTTGATATCACGATGATTTATCTACTACTCTATCAACACTACACGTGCTTTAATATATGAGTCAATCTCATCACACAACACACAATGTCATATATATATATATATGTATTACTAATTTGGAGAAAAAATGGATATAAAACAAAAAGAAAAAGAGAAAGAGAGAGGTACATACTTGTAGTGTGTGGGTGAGACGGAGAGGAAGAAAACTCTAGTGAGAGGAGAGTTGATATAACTCAAGACCCAATTAGACCATGTTCTTAGTCCTTTTCTCAATGCCACTAACCTATCCATGTCTCCATAATATTTCCCTCCTGTCTCCATCTGCTCCCACCTGTCTCACTCCCAAAAACTTTTCATTTTTCACTCAATTTTACCCCCTTTAAAGTTCACATTTACCCCCACTACTAGCTACGTGAAAAATCCACCAAGAGAGGTTAAATTTTTTAGCTTACCCTCGTAAAGACCCTGTGTGGCTCCACCAGTGACCAGTGTTGAACAGCAAAACGTCGGCCGTGCGCCAAATGTTTGATGCGTCGACAGAGATTTCGTCGAGTTTCAGAGTTGTCTTTCCGCGAATTTTGTCGATGTCTACGAGATAAGGCGCTCTATAGAATGACACTTTAACGTTGTAGTCCTGTCATTGATGCATCCATGTATTAGACAAAAGAAACTGAAGTTAAGCGAGAGTAAAGCGAGATTATGAATGGTTAAATAGAGTAAAAGAAAAAGGAATGGAGAAAAAACCATTGTGATCATTTGTATTTGTATTGTTGGAAAAGTTAATGTTATTTTTGTGTTAACGTCACTTTTCAACTAATTTTAAGGAAGCGACCTGAAATTGTTTTCATTATGATTGGAGGTAAGTGGGACCCAATGTTTTATAGTTATACAGTACCAATTAAAAACTTATGTATCTGAAACGGTTTCAGTGAAAGACTGACACTTTTATATTTAACTAAAGTAAATACATAGTTTAAAAAAAAATACTATATATAGTTAAAAGTTAAAACTAATTTGGAGTGAAAGAACTTCAAATATTGACAAAAAGATAAAAGTTTGGACATAATTTCTTGAAACATTGATTAATTTAGAGAACTTGTTTTCTTAGCAAGCGGATTTTATTCTAATCCGAAAAGCTTAGGCATCTGCAAATATATATTATTTCATCAATTCATAGACAGAACAGGAGTGTTACAGAAATAAAATACTTTAAACTTAGAACCAACATATAAAAGTGTAATAGAATATTTTAAACACTTTAAAGTGCAATGAAATAGTACTAACTGATGTTGCTTTCGAGATTTTTTCGTTTTTCTTTTGTCCCTATTATTAAACCAGTGAAACTAGTGTCACCGACGACGTCAAGTTGAGCAAGCTAATAACAGTTGAAAACGACGTTCGAATCATAACTTTTGACTCAAATCTCACGAGGTTATTCGAAGAAATTAAACTCCCTAAGAGAAATATGGACTCATTAACCGACAGTATAAGTTTGTGTTGGAACTTACAAGGATCTTGAAGGTAGAAAGGGGATCTTCATGGATGATATGTGTATGAATGTCTGGTGCTGATGAAGAGATCATACACATCAACGACTCCCATTGGTTTCTACCCAACGAATCACCAACGAACATTATTGTTTTGTTCCTCATTTCTTGAAGAAACTTCACTCCATTAAACCTATATTTCAAATAAATAGAAAAAAGTTAAAAATTAAATTAAGAAATCATTGCGTCGACCCTACAACTAATAATAACTTTTAACGCACCAAACTCTCCCAACAAAAGATCAATCAATTCGATTTTGTTTATAGAAACGAATCTGTTAACTTGCACTTATTGCACTCGAAAAGGCTAATTAAATTATTTTTTAAAAAATAGTTGGAAGTATAAAATACACCAAATTATATTGTTAACTAGTACAGTATAAAAATGGTTATGAAGAATGTTCATAACCATGACATACTGTTGTATACAATACATCTCATAATTTCTGGGACCACTGATATATGATTATATAACCCAAAATACTATATATGAAAGAAAAAAAACCATGATATCACCAGCTTGAATTTGTTTTTTTTTTTTAATAGTAATTGAATGCTAAAATCTTGGTTGGTGCGCAATGGCGCAACAATGAAATTCATTTGCTTAAATTTAAATCAGTAAACATAAATTTAAAAATTCGAGGCCAGACGATAATCTCGATATTAATGTTCCTCAAAAGCAAAGGTACTTAAAAATAACAATTAACCAATCAATTTAACTAATTTAAATCTTCGTCTAATTTGTAGTTAGATAGTGAGTGAGATTTGTTAACCTAGGGACGTCGCAGTTAAAAGGTTGCCACCGGAACTTGAGGTAGTCAGAGTCAGGTCTGCCGTAAGTCTGGCAGTCGAATCCCGGATCTATCATTCCTCCGCCGCATTCTATTGACCGGTAAAGCGGGTACGTCTCATCCCGTACCCACTCTCCGGCGAACAGATCGCAGCTACTCCGGTTCACCGGAAAAACCACACGACGTGGATGCTTGGCGAAGTTGCTATGGCTCGGCCACCGTCGGGCGAGACGGAGAGGGGAAGCTGACGTGGTGTTTTGGAGAAGAAGAAGACACAAGAAGAGGAAAGTGAGACATTGAAGAGCCGACATTAAAGAAGCTTGAAGAGAGCAAAGAGAGAAAGAGAGAGAAAAGAAAAAGGAAAGTGTTGTTATTATATGTTGTCCTTTGCATGGAACTTGCTGCTATACGTATGTTTTGAGAACTTAAGGATCAACAAACTACATCTTTAAAAAGGACGAAAATATATGAGGTCGCGTTTTAAATTCTTGTTTTAAGTACAATAATTAGGTATTTTTGTTTTACCCATAAATTACAAACATTTATTAGTATCCTAGTGGATTAGTAATACTGCCCTACGTTACCCTGGACTCTCAAATTTAACATTATTATATTTTTTAGGAAATAGACATAAAAGCAAGCCGTAATCATTTAACGCTGCCAAAAAAAACAAACAAAATAGCTTAACCGGCGTAATAACTCTTTAACATTTGTATTTTCAAGGTTTCAAGTTCAAACACTTGTGATGAATAACGAGCTTCTTTATGTTATGACACGGTAACAAAAGATGGATATTTTAGGTTTTGTTAAAGCATATGTATACAAAATATAGATTCTTTGCTTTGCTTCACCTTCATGCTAGAATATTTAGTTTTTAAACATCATGACAATAGCCACGTCACGTATGTGTATGACCCTTGCGCAAACGATAAAGCCACGTCACGCTGGTCAAAGCTAACGGCCAATGAATTAAAATTGATTTGTTTAAACCAAATTGGTACAGAGAGTGACAGTGGCTGCTTTCTTAAGTGTTCTAAATATGGTAATTGGGTATTATTGTTTGGGATTTGGTTTGATACTTAAGGTTTATAGCCCAAAGTTAAAAGCCCATTATGATTAAACCGACTTAACAAATCTGGATACTTCGTCATTGGTATAGAAGAAACCCGACCCGAGTCGTTTTATTCCTGGTCGCTTCGTCTCCTTCGTTGGTCTTGGCGATTTTGGAAAATTCTCGTCGCAACATTCTCTGGATTGGCTCAAGTTTGCTCTCCCAGGTTATTTTCTATGATTCCTCTATCTAGCTTTTCGTTTGTTTGATTCGTGATTTTGTCGCTCTGAGTAAATTTAGGGTTTTGTGATGTCTGTGTTCTTTGATGGTTATGTTTAGCTTCTCTTCAAGTTGCTAGCTTTCGTAAGTTGGAACGAACTTCAAATGTAAATTCACGATTTCGTGAGAGAAAATTTGTTTAGTGCCGCTAATTGTTATATTTGGCTGGAAGTGTGATGATGCCTGTAAGGTGTTTGATGAAATTCCTCAAAGGAATTAACTTTATCATTATGCCATCCCTTTTTCTTGGAAATTCAGCGTAGTTTTGGATTTGATTATTTAGACGTAAGTTAAAAAAGTAGAATTTATGTTGAAGAAGACTCTGAAATCTTCAGTTTTTTTTTGGTATGATTGCATAAATCTCTCAACAGTCTCATAAGTCATACCCATCTCTTGATCCACATGTATATAGAGAAGTGAGGCCAATTTCTTTTTGTGCACTAAAAAGCTATATTTTTTTGCAGGTCAAACTGTTTCTTTTAAGCAATGGCGAAGCATCATCCCGATCTGATCATGTGCCGGAAGCAACCGGGCATTGCCATCGGACGGCTGTGTGAGAAATGCGACGGGAAGTGCGTGATTTGTGACTCTTACGTGCGTCCGTGTACTCTGGTGCGTATCTGCGACGAATGCAACTACGGGTCGTTCCAAGGGAGGTGTGTCATATGCGGAGGGGTTGGGATCTCGGATGCTTACTACTGCAAAGAGTGTACACAACAGGAGAAAGACAGAGATGGTTGCCCCAAGATCGTCAACCTCGGGAGTGCCAAAACCGATCTCTTCTATGAACGTAAGAAGTATGGATTCAAGAAACGATGAGATTTATGGGTTGGTTCGTGATTGCAAGATCCTTTATTAAGTGCTTACAACTATTTGGATCTCTTATTGGCTATGTGTAAACTTGTTTGTTAGACTCTCCTCGCTGCATAAAACACATATGTTCCTGAGAACGAACCAATCTAAACTTATTGGATATGTGTAAACTCGTTTGTTAGACTCCTCGTTGCATAAAACTAGTAAGAATCTATCTATAAAGATATTGGATGCGAAATCAGAAGTTATGCATCGTTGTTCTTGATACTCCAAAAGTTTAGTGGTCATTGTTTTTAATGTCCAAATAGTTCTTGCATTGTGCATCGTGTTTGATGGCATCAGATGACACACAAAAAAAGTTTGGGATAAATGAGTAATCAACTTATTACTTAGTTATAAACAAATGAAAAAGAAAATATTTATTCAGTTTGTAAAGAATCTTCTTTAATCCGTTTGTTTAACAGTAGATTAAAAGGAATCTTCTTTGATCCGTTTGTTCAATATTTGTTGAATCGATCTTTCGATGGGTAGGTTGAATAAAGATAAAAAAAAACACCTAATAATCTCACTGTCTGCGCTAATGGGTTGTAGAGATTTAGTTAGCAACCTGCCAGATGAGATCCTTGGCAAAACACTGTCACTGCTTCCGACACGTCTTGCTGCTTCAACATCTGTTCTGTCCAAGAGGTGGACGAATCTGTTAGCGCTTGTAGACAATCTTGATTTCGATGATGACGCAAGTGTTGGTCGTCTTCCTCCTCCAGGCTTTCCTGAATTCGTGGAAAAAACACTTGCTCTCTTATGCAGCGATACTTGTCCCACCTTGAAGAGATTCTCTCTGAAATTCAGATTTCAGCACGAGTCTTGTCTCGTCAAGAGTTGGATTCGCACTGCACTAGAGCGCGGCTGCTTGGAGCTTCACTTGGAGAACGTAGGTTGGGATAATATACCGACTCAGTTCTTCACGAGCAACACACTGGTTAAGCTCACAATATCCAAAGGATTTTATTCTAGCGATCGTTGTCTTGCTGATGATAGTAGTGGGAGGAGGAAGAGAAGGATTTTCCCATCACTCAAAACTCTCTCCATCGTTTCAATGATGTTTCCAGATTTTGAGACGTATCAGTATCTCATCAATGGCTGCCCTGTGCTTGAGGACTTGTCCCTGCATTTTCACGAGAAGACATTTCCTCCGAATTGGAGTGGTGGCGTGTTGTGTCCTTCTGTCAAGCGGATGAACATCTATCACTATTTTCCCTCTTTACCGTGAGACTCATGAGGGTGTTTTGTTTAAAACACCAAATCTCGTGTACCTTGATTATTCTAGTTATGTCACGGATGAGTATGAGGTGTACTTGGGCTCACTCGTAGAAGCTAGGCTGGATCTTCTATCATGGGAGCGACTTAATGATAATGTTGACGATGATGGTCATTTAGAGAAGGATGATGATGACAATGACAGTGGTTGTAGTTGTGGTTGTTGTGAGGAGGATGATGGTATTGGTGACTATGAAGCTTATTGTGATATTGAGGATGTTGTTTTGGGTGATGTTACGGATCTGGTTGCAGGGATAACCAACATTACAACTCTTCACTTGTCTCCTAATTCTCTTGAGGTCAGTATTTAATTGATTATCAAATCTAAAGCTAAGCTAAACCAAAAATGTTTCATCCCTTTTTTTTATATATATCTTTGTGTTTTGGTTGTGATAATTTATAAATCAGGTGCTTCACTTTTGCTGTAAATCAATGCCAGTGTTTCACAACCTCCTTACTTTATCTTTTGAGAGCAACAAAAAAAGAGGATGGCAAGTGGTGCCACTTCTCATCACCAACTCTCCAAACCTTGAAACCTTAACCATCAAGGTACATCTGATAAACACACACATGATTCGTTTCATTGCTATTTGCTAGGTCATATTGTACATAAGTTTTTTTGCTTGCGTCTATATATACTTTCAGGGTCTTGTGCACCAAGTTGGCTATCTATGCGGAGATGTCTGCCCTTGCATCCCTAAGAAGAAGAAGAATAAGAAGAAGAAGAAGGATGTATGCTGTTTATCGACATGTCAAGTGAAGGTGCTAAACATTTCAGGGTATCGAGGAACTAGTAGAGAGCGGAAACAGATGAAGCATTTCTTGGCAAATTTAAAATGTCTTGAAACTGTCAAGGTTGGTGTTGAAGTGGTTCGTCGAGAAGACAACAATGATGCTAATAATAAGTACCTCAGAATCACCGATGCTCTTATGAAGCTTCCCAGAGTTTCATCAACCAGTCGCATCCAGTTCTTCTGATTTTTTTTTTTTCCTCTTTTTTATTTAGTTCATCAAACCTTGTTTTTTTCTTTTTTGGTCACGGCGCTAAACCTTGTTTCTTTATTTTTATTGTTGCAGAACATTATCAAACTAAAAGTTATGCATTACATAGCGTATCTGTTTTAATTATTCTAGGTGATTACCTGCATATGTGGCGTCTATAAATAGAAAATAGGAGAGAGAGAAAAAGACAGAAAGAGGTGTCTGGTGTGGAAGGTGTTAGTGTGAGCCAGTGCCGTGCCTAGGTTAAAATGAAGGTGAGGCAAATTTAATAATTTTTTTTTTAAAATAAATTCTTAATAATAAATATATTACAGTTTTAAATTTGTTATTTATATTAATGTTGTATAGTTCGACAAAAAAATGTTAATGTTGTATAATTATATATTTTAAAAATTTAATGATTAAAATGAAATGAGCATTAGTATATTTTGTAGGTATATTCAATAAAAGTTCAGAAGCATTAAATTATGTTTATTGCTTTAAATAAATAAAAAGTAAATGAAATATGTGACAAATAATAGGAAAAAAAATTACTAACAGAAAAAAATTACTAACAGAAAAAAAATTGATTTGGAATTTAGATTTTTTTTAAAAAAAAAAAAATATATTACCAAGGAATTGAAATTGAGTTTTTATGATTGAGACTCGATTAATAAAACCACTTTGACACATAATATTTTAAAGATTAGGTTCATTTGAAATTTATATATTTTCAAACTTGAGGCAAATGCCTTTTTTGTTATACATAAGGCACGGTTCTGATGTTAGCGATGAATCAAAGAAGAAGAAGTGAAAATGAATAAATCTGTTATCGATCGTGATGAGAGCAATTGCATTATATAGAGAGCTTAACCGGTTCACATTAATCTATGTAAGACTTAACCACGTGATTTAGTCCAAACCGAATTTACAATATCATACTCTAATAGATTGGTCAAAATGTTCGTGAATTTGGTTAGAATCAAACAGAAAAACTGGCAATATTTGGACTGTACTCACATTGAATAGAAGTGTCCCCCAGATCATTCAGAAAAACGCGAATCTTTAAGAAAAGCCACATTGGCTTTTGAAGTTTCATTTGTAAATGCATGCGAAGTTATCAGTATCTTTACGATCACAAACACTTTTTTTTTTTGTTAACACAATCACAAACACTTTTATTCATCATTTTCGATGTTTTATTTTCTTCTTCGGTTTGGAACCTTTTGGTGGGTCCCACGTGCTAACGTTGCAGCTCAAAAGGGCATTACAATTATTTTTTCCTGTTGGTTAATAATCGGTTTGCGCCTTTGGCAGCACACCAAACCAGTTTGATTAACCGATAATTATGAAAATTAACAGTCATGACTCTTCATATAAGTCATTGATGTCTCTTCGTAAAGACACTTAATCTTTTGTCTATAAAAGAAAGATTGTAGACAGACATAAGATACTACTTCATGACCATGGACATAAAGAGAGAAACTAGAGAGAGAAAACGTTTTAGAAAAAGAAAGCTTTGAAGAATTAACCGGAAGAGCACTTGAACGGTTGCTTGTGGTTAATTTCCATCTGTGATCTTAACTCCGATCTCTGTATCCGATTTCCAATCATTCCTATCCTGAATCGTCGCTAAACCGGCTAAGGTTTGTTTTCGGTTTTAGCATATAACTATGTTACATTGGTATCAGAGCATTTGGTTTTGGTTCTGGCATGGTTTTCATTTGTAGTTATCATGACTGAAAGTAAATATAAGTTAGTCTCGTTCATTCATGCTGAATTAGAGAAAATGATTACCCATGAGAATGATTGAAAATGGTAATTTTGTGTTTCCTCGATAAAACTGACTGAAACATTGCATGATTATGCTTCATAATGTCATAAATGTATCTGGAAATTATCACTTTACGAACCGGATTAGATTGTATGAATTTAGAAAAATTATGAATAAACCGCCGATTTTGTTTCGTCTATAACTCGCTGTACACAATTTGGAATAGAGTGATTTTGATGTCTGTGCGTAGATATTGAAATTATCTTTCTATCGGTATATAGAACACACAATTTGATTAAGTATACAGAGAGCTATAGGGGTCAAAAGTTTTCGTGCGAATAGGTGTCTAATATATGTGAGAGGAAGACGATGAACAGTAATCGCCACGTGGCGAATTCTGATTTGTGTGAAAATGCATATATTGTTAATTGAATAAAACTAGATGAGTATCCGCACGATGCACAGATTTTTTTTCATAATATAATTTATTAAAAAGTGTAGTTACAATTTATTTTATCGTATATTTTTTTTTAAAAAAAGATATTGTGTACTTGAATAAACATACAATACAAATTTACATATTATATGGATATTAATCATATATGTGATCAATGGTTATTGATAACAAAATGTGAAATATATTATACCTTGTATATATAGAATATATTAAATGGATATAGTGCAAATCATAGAAGTACTATATAACAAAAATCAATTAGAGAAACTTTTTATGCACAACATAGATAGAGATGACTCTTTTAAACATGTCGTACTTGTTCACAACATAAATTTACACAATAGCAATGCCGTGGTTTATACTTTTATGAGCTTAAATAATTGATTTATAATTCTAATTTATATAGCTATATTAAATATAATATAAATATATATATTAGGACTTTGATATCTTATTAATTTTAAAATTATTAATGGATCAAGTTTGAATAAAATAAATTATCAAATAATTATTAGTTTATAAAGAAATTGTTTTAAAGTTTATTATAATATTGTATAAATATTTCTTCTAGTTTTTTAAGGTTCAAAATATCAAATAATTTTTATTTTTATATTTGTATAATTGTTTTTATAATAATATTTTATAATATTAATTAAAAATAAGAAAACACTCTTAAATATAAAACATAAATTTTGTTAATGATTTTTAAAAACTACCACAAAATAGATATTCAATAAGTGTTTTTGAATATTAAGTATAATCTTTATTAAAATATATTATCTAATCTTTTATATTTTTCATATTCTTTTAGTATTAACAATAATAATACATTAAATTTGTGCATTAACTATATTTTCCATAATTTGTATCATTAAATTTTTTAAAAATAACACATGTCATTTTTACAATAAACAAAAATGATGAGGTGGCACTCATACGGAGATAGTTAGCCATCTTTTATAGTATATATGAGTTTGATATGTCCAAATTTAGAAATTTTAATTTCGTTAAATTTGTCTCATTGAGGAGATTAAGAATCTGAGATTATCTTAATCATTTTGTGACTTTAAAAAATTACAAATTTTTTTTGTATAATTTAATATGTTTTATTTGATAATTCATGTTAGAAAATATATTAATTGAGTGGGAGTTCTAATTTGTTTGGAACTTAAAATTTTGCATGGAAGAAATTGAATTATGGTAATAAGATTTTAATATAGGAGATGATTGGGAATATAGTGAACTCTCGATCCCGTATTATGAATTAAGTTACTATGATTTAATTTGTGTTCATTGCAAAATTATGAGTGATGTATTAAAAGTATGCAAAATAAACTAATGTCATTAAATGTTTGAGCAGAAATGGCGTATGCTTGTAAGAACATTATTGCTGAGCTTAATCGAGGAGACAAACTGGATGGTGATAATTACGATATTTGGTATCGTAAAGTTCAGTATGTCCTTGAAGAGCAAGAGGTGAAAGAGACTCTTTTCCATGACATGGAAGAGCCTGAGCAGGGTACTACAGCTCAACACAGGAGAGATCATGAGGTATATATTGTCTGGAAAAGAAAAAATAGCATCGCTCGCATTACTTTGCTGAGTTGCATGCAATATGATCTCATGTGTGAGTTTGAGGAGTACGAAACTGCAAAAGGCATGTGGGAGGCCTTGAAAGAGATGTTTGGTGCCACATCGGCGACCAAGCTTAGGAGACTTAATCAAAGGTTCAATGATTACAAGAAGCGCCCAAATCATTTAATGAGGCAGCATCTTAGAATCATGTTGACCATGATTAGATAGCTTAAGAATGCTGGTCAGATTGTATCTGATGAACAGCAAATTCAAGCAGTTCTCCGATCATTGCCTGAAGGTTCAGATGACGCACAATGTAAATGTGAAAACATTTGAAGACATTGCACGTCAGAGTTAGAGGATGAGCGCCTTGAGGCAGCTAAGCCTTTTAACGAGGCTAACATTGCGAGTTCAAGTGCTGGCTTGAAACGCAATAGAGGTAACAAGGAAAACAAGGCTCCCTATCAAACTGATCTTAAGAAGCAAAACAAATTTGCCAAGCGTGGCAAGCGTGGGGGAAGGAAAGATAAGTCCAAAATTAAATGCTACAATTGTGGCTCATTGGGTCACTTTGCTCGTGAATGCACTGAGGCAAAGAAGGTATTATCCTTGAACTCTACTTGTAAGTATGCTTTTGTTTCTAGTTGTGTAATGCTTGCTGAATCTCATCCTTTGTGGATTGTAGACTCAGGAGCAACAGACCACGTAGCTAGAAATCGAGAAGCATTCATGGAGTATCGACGTATTCCTAAAGATTCAAGATGTTTGTGTGTGGGGAACAACTCTAAGGTTGCGGTACTGGGTATCGGCACTTGCCAGCTACATATGTGCGGTGGGAGAACCCTCATTTTACATGATGTCTTGTATGCTCCTGAAATTCGTCGTGACCTTGTCTCTGTTTTAGCTTTACTTAAGTTAGGATTTAGTTTGAACTTCCATGATATGTGTTTAAACATAACTCTAGGATCTGTGTTCTATGGTTCTGGATATGCTTATGATGGTTTTATTGTACTTGATTGTACTACAAATGTTACTACTACTACAAGTAATGCTGATTGTTGTTTTTCATATATCACAAGTTCTATTAATGTTGAAATGAATGTGTGGCATGCTAGACTTGGTCACATAGGTGTAGATCGAATGAATAGGTTGGCTAGAGAAGGCCTTCTAGGCTCACTTGCCCGAGTTGATCTTGACACATGTGAACCATGTTTAGCTGGAAAAGCAATAATAAAACCATTTGGAAAAGCAACTAGAGCTGAATTTCCATTGCAGCTCATTCATTCAGACATTTGTGGTCTGATGAATGTGAGGGCAAGACATGGGGCATCATATTTC